ACCTGCGCCGCCTCCACCCGCTGTCATTCTTCACGAGCCACCGGCTAGCACTACGTACAACAGATGGCAAAAGGAACTGGGTTTTGGCCCAAGACTATCATTGCCCGTCCTTTTTGGCCTGCCCCGCACCACACCTCGGAGGTGCTGGGGCACTCTCCCAGACACGCCTCACCAGGGAGCGGGTGGCTTTAAATGACAACACCCCACTTGACGTTACCGGACCAAATTTGTGAGTGGCACTCAGATGTCCACAGGAAATGCTCGAGCCACGTGGGGAGAGGGGCGCTTTAAAAGGAATGGCTCCAAGAGCCACTCCAAGCCGCTCTGGTCAGAGATGTCCAGGAGAGTCCCCCGGTGGCACAGAGGCGTGGCGTGGGGCGGCTCAAGAAGGGTTTCTAGCTCGAATCCCCACCCAAAATCCAGTTCCTTATTCACGTCTCTGTACTTTGTGTGGTGGCCGAGCGGCGCTCTGGACTGGGCGAGGCTGGCAGAGTCCCCCCAAGGGCACAGAGCTTCTCCAATGAGCAGTCTGAGCAGAAGGTCTAGCCGTGATCCCAGCCCCAAAGCCGGGTCCGTATTGGAGCCATTATACTCAGTACGGCGGGCACAGGGCCCTGCCGGCCGAGCCGTTCCTTGGGCCGGGCGGGACCAGGGCCGGGGTTCTCTGCGACAGGAAATCTGGGATGACCCAAGGAGCATTTTGTCCCGTCCTCCCATCTGATTTGGACTTTTGCAGAGGGCTCTAATTTGAGCCTGGGCACACACTAATTCAAGCCTGGGCACAGCTCATGCAATTTTCTCTTCAGGACGAGTCATTCACAAATCGCAAGCGTTCGTTGGGTCGAGACAAGCTTGCACATGGGAGCCGGGAACCGGGAATCAGGACCGGGCCCTAAGGAAGGGCCGCCCGCCTCCGCCTCGCTCCCTGCCAGGCCCAGCGGCCGCGCAGGCCTCGCCTCGCATCGCCAAGCTCCTCAAGCACGCGGCTCGCCCGCCTCGCCGGGCCTGCCCCCGCCGCCTTGGGCGCCTG